TTGAATGTTCTGCATGTTCAATGTCAGATTTATCTTCAATGTCGAAAGCACGTAGGTGCTGAATGTCCTATTTAACTTCAATGTCGAAAGCATGATATACATGAATATTGGCGGTGATATGACGCCATACATATGAAGTACAGAATGTTTGGCAAGCGGTGAGTAAATATACGATTGTTTTGCTTTGTGCAATGTTATGACGGCATTTGCTCCACCGTTCGAAAGGTTATTTGATGAGGATCTCAACGGTGGTTTTCGTTTTAAAGGGCGGGTAAATACTTGCCGAGATATTTTAATCTTCCCCACTCCAAAGTCGGAAATGTAAATATAAACCGAACGGCATTGACATTCTTTGTTTTTGATCCAGTAAACGCCATGTACGCTACAGCGTACCTATTTTTTGAATTAGCTATAATTACAATTGGCTAGGGCTACAGATATAGTAACAGGTTGCCCCAATTGCTGAGGTAAATACAAAAGTTAAACACAACAATTTAAAGATAGTCACTGAAGATTTAAAGATTTTGTATGCTACGTGCCTCACGATTGTCTGCCAGTAAATTTTCTCGATTTTGGATAAGCAGTCATGTCTTTTTGTGCGAGGATGTTACTAAAGTACTTATACTATCAATAATGGACATATTTGGCACTTCGTGTTGCCAGTATTTAATATTATTTAATTAACATTTTATTAACATTTTGAGAAAAACAAGTTGTTTGTTTACTTATTTGACCTAGTGGTAAAATAACAACGCAGTGTGAAAACATGATACAGATTTTTGTGTCAAAGACAAAAGTACAAAATAAAGGAATCGTTTTGTCCTCATATGTGTTGTAAATATAAACGGTTACTATAATAACTATTTAAGGTCTGTATACAGTTTCGAAAAAATTCCTTGAAAATTCTTATCTTAATTAAAAGTTTATTCTCATGAGAAATTAGCATACCACAAACTGGTATATTGTGTCCTCACAAAACATCAGTCAAGCTTGATTGATACTAACTGTTGGACATCAGCCATCATGCAGGAGTAATTGAAAGTTTTTTTATAACGTTTGGTAAGGAATATCCTCCGGAAAAATTATTTCTGAAGAACCAATGGCTAAGGTAGACGTTTTTTGGTGAAGGTCTTAGTGGCTGAAGAATAAAATGGAGGGTGAGATGTTATAATAGTGCTATCAAACAAGAAACGACGTAATTATAAAAGCATTGTTGATCAGGTAAGCTCGAGCACTGTGACAGATTTGACACTGAGACTATCGAACAGAGAGAAAGAGAGAGTTTCAGACATCTGACTTTCTTAAGATGACAGCCGTCTTTACGGATACAAATATCTCATTACATGCAATGTCAAAAAATAACAACGCAAGTGTTGTTTATTTCATTAATTTTACAGTAATATACCTTACATAAGTATACATGGATAGCCGCGAATATATATTTTTTTGAATTCCAAGGTATTTAAGAAATATTTATTAAATCCTAGATTTTATATTTATTTCATTAGACATACACATAGTTTATACACATGGTTTATAGTTTCTGACAATCAGTGGATAATGAAATTGTTGGACCAAGTATATAAAACAAATTTCCGCATCGCCATTGGTTATGAGATGGTATCTAATCCCTACAATTTCCAAACACAGATTGGTCTTTTACAGGCACGTTGCCATGCATTACCTAATACATCATGTAGCCAATAAAACGATCGTTCAGCACAATAGTCAGGGTCAGGAGGCAAAAAAGGACTAAAAAGGACAACGAATGAGCAATGTCTGATGGGGCCCAGGACCGGTCACAGAGGCATCAATATTAATATTTTTTCCCCCAAAAAAAATTTTCCGGATATATCGTAATTTTTTCAGACATACAAAATGAAGATGAAGAGCACTGATGAAGCTCCGAGCTTACGGATCGAAGGCTTTGCAGTAATAAATTTACGTGGTGTTTCCACAAACAAAACTATTATATAGTTTTCGGACATATCGTAATTTTGTCCAATTTTTCCGTAATATTTTCGAAAATTTTAATTTAAATTTACAATACAAATTGTAATATGTCTTACTCTTGCTTTATAAAAATCTCTATTTTTAATTTTTTCCAATGTTTTCAATTTAGGGGCCCATGATGCAGGGGCCCACAACGAGTTCCCGTTGGCTCGTCCCTGGCCAGCACGTCCCTGATCAAAGTTAATCAGATTAAGAACTCGTAATTACATGCTTTAGCTATAAAGTCAAAAAAGATTTAAAAGGATTAGAGGCAGTTCCAAATAATTCTCATGTTGATCTCTCTAGACGAATCTTGACGCATTATTCATTCCATGCATATTATCTAAAAAGTAGTCGCAGGAAAACTGCGAGCGTGCCTATATATCTCATTTCTCTCATTTTTCATTCCTATACTCTAGTAGTTCCTCTTGTAGACTTTTTGAATAACCTGCATGCATGCTCATGCAGTAAAAATTTGTCTCGTGCAAAATGTAGCTGCATGGTCTTAGGTTAATTGAGCGTCATAGTGAGTGTTTATAATTGCATCTCTTGTACAATAATCTTATTGATAATAATTGTCCTGTACTTTCGTTCTAGATCAGTGGCGTTTTATACACCGGCGTAATAAACTTTTCATTATATATTATATTAAATTACTGCACGAACGTGGAGGTCATGAAATTTACTAAACGACAATGAATACATTTCTTCTCTTTCTCCTCGCCATATTTTCCAGTTATGGTGGAAATGCTTCTAATAACACGTTGCATTTACCATTGACAATAAATCGACTCATACAAGATGCCATACAGCGAGACCCGTTGATGGATGCTTACATACAATTAAATAAAACGTTTTTTGACCACGCAACATTTAGTGATATAGTTAACAGCCTTGATCAAAAACCTCTCCCTCAACTAAAGAAAAGTCTAACCGGAGTGATTATAGTTGGACTAGCTGCAATAGCCCATGGTTTGACTGTCGACAAATTTCTACAGCCAAGCAAATGGACAATAATTATGTCAGTAGAAGAACTGGCGAATGTTTCAAACAATATCACTCTGCCTTTAAATGACAAAGTAGTTTTAATCACAATTCAAGAAGCGATGTTTAACGTTTTGGAGAAAAGATTTAACTTCAAGACTGAAGAAATAGCGGAACATTTAAATACCACAAAAGATGAAGTATATGCGTTTTTGGAACCAGGATGGATAAAGGTTGTTAATTTTATCACGAAGAAAAATATTTTAGCGCTGTCAAGAAATTATACAATTCCACCATTTTACATTGCTGAAGCTCTCAACATGTCGTTACCAGAACTTTACAACTCAACACTGCCACAGCTTGAAGATATACTCGTGAATAAAATTAACATCATCAAAGGTTTGTAAATGCTTTCATCACAGCATGCAGTATTACCAGCAACTAATTTGTTTGGGTATTTAGTTGAGTTTTGAAAGTTGACCTTCTCTATCATTTTTTATTATATACACAAGGTCTGGATATGAGGTATTCTGCAATCTGATTGGTTCTCTACTAGCAGGATATTAGCTCATATCCTGCTAGTAGAGAAAAACAAAATGGCGGCCAAACTGAATTTACGATGTTTTGCAAACGAGAAAAC